TGGCACAACAGTCAGCACTCACTGAGGTCATTGTTGAAGAATTAGGAGGTGATGCTAGTAAAATTGCAGTATTATATGCTACAGCAAATAGGTTCAGGTAAATTGTAACTTCAGAAGAAATTACTTCTGAAGTTCGAAATTCATGATTTCCTTCAAAGTATGCTTCCCTGCACTGGAGTTCTAAACTAATGAAGAACCAGGCAACATATAACTTACATGAAAGACTTGTGGTCGCTGTTGGCGACAACACCAATGTCTAAATTCTCGGCGTACCTGCTTAACAACCTGGAACAGATCAATGATCTAGATATATCATCATTAATGTTACAATGCAGTTGTTTCAGTCATGGGACTGTGCTAAGTCAATAATAAACATGAATTTCGATACTAAGGACAGCAATTCCAGTCATGTCAGTTCCATTGTGTGGCCCTGCAGCAAACCATTGACCGTGCATTGCTCTGGTCTGCATGCAATCGTCGTACTTGAGAAGTTATTTTAACAAACGCTTTTAAAGATTTCCACATTGAAGCATCAAAATCACCATTAGTTACTGTATTTAGCACATTCAAGGAGCATTTTGACACAGTTCTTCAAATATGGGACAAGACACTCAGTTTATTTGACTCTCAACCTTTCTCGAATAATTCAAAAACTGTTTCTCAGTTTATTACGTGAAAGGAATGTGTAAAAGCAGCTGCTGAGTCTTTCATAGAGCATCAGTAAAAAGACTTTTATCATATAAAATTCAGTGAAGTAGGTTTGTTGTACCTTGATCCAGATAATATAAAATATCACTTTCGTTGACCGGGTGCAGTCCTCAAATCACAGTGGATGTCCGGTGTATGACACAATGGAATGGCACGGTAGATAATGTACTCCATCAAAATCCACCTTGAAGAGCAGATCCGTTAGTTGTCAACAGGAACAATTATCACTGCTGCCCAGCAGACAAAGTTACGCAGCTTGTCGCCTTTGTGTGTGTGATATACAGTGTCTGGTGGACAATGTGTAAATCTCCAGTTAACGCCACATTACACGATCTCTGCTTTTATCAGAACTTTCTGAAGTACACACAAGTGAGTTCTAAATATTTGAAAGTGCTTTAAAAGCACTGAAACGTCATCTGTTGTACCTATGATCTGAATGGTGCTTCTTGCTCTATTCAGTGACATTGTTTCAAAGCCTGAATTGCAGTATTTAGCCGAGAAGCTTTTGGCAGAAAGGCCTAGTGATGGAATAGCTCTGTTGTATGATTGCTACGAAACTGGCTTCGGAAAACTAAATTCTAACTGAAACCACAACAAGACTTGGAGATATGTCACAACAAGACTTGTAAATATGATTACCGCAGGTTTATGATACAATTTCAGCCTTTTAGAGATGAACGTTTTCTTAACAATAAGGTTAAAAACGGCCCAAATTATCATTCGTTTCTATTATCAAAGATGAAGACAATTTCTGTCAATTTTATCAATGACAGTAGGGAACGCGGCGTGAAACTAAGTGCAGGCTTTCAAGATGCAGCTAACACTGAGTTAAATTATCAAAACATTCTGCAAGTTGTTGGAGCTGATAGAAAGAAAGTTTCAGGTTTGCGCAGCCGTTAGAAGAAACATGTAACACCAACAGTCGAAGCTCACGAAGATGAAAATTGACAATATTTAACTATATACCCATAGTTCCAGTCGCTAAAAGCTACCTATTGTACTTTGCTCTGTTCGATATTGTAAATTTCGATGAAGTAGTACAGTATCAGGCATCACAATTTGCCGTGATAATTGCTGATTATGTCCACGCAAATTATAATCTGATAGCAATTGGGCATATATTTGAGGAACTAGAAAGTCTATTTTATCTATTTTGTTAGTGATTATATACTGTTGAATGGGGTCGCCTCTTTTTTGGCGTTCTTATAGAGTGGTAAGATTGAGTATGGCCAGTCTTTCCCAATAGTTTTTTTAATTTATCTTGCTTATCACCTTTTTTACTCGCTGTTGAATGCATTCAAGTGCTTTTATGTATCTTTTTAGGTGAGGAGACCAGGCTTGGATGGCATACTCGAGATGAGGTCTAATGTATGTTGTGTAAAGTACACTTCATAACATCAGCCCTCCTGTGCAATAATAATTTTTTAGTTTGCTAAGTACTTGGTTTGCTCTAGCTGCTGCAGTTTTTATTTGATGCTTAACTTTAAGGTCGTTTGATGTTAGAACCCATAAGTCACGTTCAATATATGTTGATCTAAGTTCTGTTCGATTACCATATAAGTCAAGCATTAAGTAAACGCGTACTGATTTACCTGAGTGACCAACATGCATGACTTTACATTTCTCTAGATTGAAATACATGAGCCACTTTTTAGACCATTCGACTGCATGATCGATGTCTTGTTATAGTTTTATTGCATCATCTTCTACTTTGATCACCCCTTAAATCTTAAAATTACCTGCGTAGATCTTCATATGATGCACCATGTTGTCTGGAAGGTCGTTTACATAAATCAGAAACAAAAATGGCCCTAACACTGAACTTTGTGAAGCACCACTATTAACATCTACCCATATATATACATATATGTATATATATATATATATATATATATATATATATATATATATATATATATATATATATATATATATATATATATATATATATATATATATATATATATATATATATATATATATATATATATATATATATATATTTATATATATATATATATATATATATATATATATATATATATATATATATATATATATATATATATATATATATATATATATATATATATATATATATATAATTAAAAATTAATATAATTTTTAATAATATATATAGATATTATTAAAAAAGCTTTTCAATTATTTGATAAATTCAATATAAACTTCTTTGAATCTTATGAAAATACTATTATTTCGTTAAAAGTCGAAAAATTAAACACATAATGGTGGCTTTTGCAAAAGTTGTTTTTAGAAAATTTAATTGATTTCTTCATATTTTAGATGTTGAATGTTATCGTAGGGTGTGCTTTCTTATCTAATGCTAATTATAAGTCAAACACTTTTGTTAAAAAAACACTATATTATATACTAATACATTTGTAATAAATATATATATAATAGAAATCTTTATTAAGGTTTATATGCAGTTAACAATAAATAGTTAATAAATTTTATTTAAAATTTATGAGTTCTACTTAATTATATTTTGCATTATTTGTGCTCAGAAAACCCCTACTGATTTCTTTTGATCTTATATATCCTACTCGCTTCTTGTGGAGATTTGTTTTCACACACAAGGAATTTAAATGGAATAAAATATGCCTAGGTAGCTCTTATGAAAATATATAAACAAAAATTTTGAAAATATAACTTTAGGTGAACCACTTATTGCTTTGCGAGACAAAGTACTAAATAATCTTTTGGCTAATCAGGCGTACTAATACAGAATTGTAACAGGAATACGATCTGGAGTGTAAAATAAAAAGTTATTAAATTTTCAAATTTCTGTTTCTCATGGCATTTTATTATTTCTCATTATTTCAGATGGCTCACAACCATCAGCCATATTTTTAGATCTTGGGTTTTAATTCATAAAGAATAAAAAAACATAAAAGTTCTATGCTAAACTATTGAATTTGTGTGCATTTTCCTTGCTGGTTTCAAATAAAGGTAAAATATTCCTGCTTAAATGGACCTCGACATTTTTTATTCCAACTGAAACAGCATGAATATAAAAAAGGGGTTGTTACACTAGAATGAAAAGAGATCTGCATGGTTTGCAATTAGTGAATCCATTGTTCAAACTCATTTGTGTTTCAAAGATGAAAAAGAATGCAAGATAGGAGTGAAAAAAGTGCTAGAAATTATAAAAGAAAGAGGTAATAATACTTAATTTGGAGATTTTCAGTAAGAATTCGCAAAACCCCATAAATAAATACTAATGCTGATAAAGTGACCAATCTAATTGAGTGGAAAGATTTAATATACGAATTAATACTTACCACAAGCCTCACAATCCATGAAATTAGAAAATGTTTTACAAGCCTATGGTTGTTTCAGATTAGTAATGCCATTCCCATATCATCGAACGTTGCGTTTAGCAAGTTTCTTTTTTATGCAATTGCAAGAATATAATATTTTATTTAAAATTTGTTGATTATTAAATTGCTTGCAATGTTTAATTTTGGTTACAGAGGCTTGTGTAAAAACATAACTCCATAATTATCGAGTAGAATATATAAGAGCACAAGAAATCAGTACGGGTTTTATAACCACAAATAATGCAAAATATAACTTAGTTGAACTCACAAATTTTAAATAAAATTTATTAACTATTAGTTTTAAATTTCATATAAATTTTAATAAAAACACTAGTAATTATAATATTTATTACAAATGTATTAGTATATAATATACTGCTTGTTATAACAAAAGTATTTCACTTATCATTAGTTTTAGAAAAAAAAGTTTTCTATATATTTTTATAAAAATAGAAAGAATTACCTATATATTTCCCCACAAAAATGAACCCTCTTTATTTTTAAAGTTTGATAAAAACTGGAAAAAAACACACACTTTATCGTAACATTTGTTGTCTAAATTATGAAAAAGCGCTTAATTTTTGTGAAAATACTTTTAACAAAAATTCTTTTTCTGTATAATTTTTTAAGTTTTAGTTTTTTCCTGTTAATTATTCACATTTTAGTCATTATTTTGTTCAAACAACGCTAACCCACCCAGCAAGATATTATTATTTTTTTTAATTTTTTGCAGATTAGGAACATCCATAAAATTCTTCACCAAAAGTAATCTGGCCGTTTATAAATTTGAAAAGAAATAAAAATTGACACACCCTAGTGATATATACTTACTGTATCTATAGCTAAATAAAACGTTTGATATATGCAATAGTTTACATATATAATAAATTAGTTATAACTTATTTAGCAATTAATCTTAATATTATTATATTTATTTACTATGTATAGATATTGATGAATGCCTAATCCAACCCTGCAATTGGGCTAATAGTGTTTGCACAAACACTAATGGAAGCTATAATTGCACATGTGATTCTGGGTGGTTATTGGATAAAAATAATCATACCTGTGTTGGTATGTTTTTTTTTTATTGCAGTGTTTCAAATTTCATTTTAAAATTATAAGATTATTGGAGGTTATCAACAATATCCAAGTATTATCTTTATAAGTATAAGTAAGGAAATTGTTAAGTATAAAATTAAGTTCAAGTTTAAATCTTGAGTTGTTGTTAAATTATTTTCTTTGAATAATACACAAAAAGGTGAAATAAATAACCTTTTTTTTATTTAGATGTTGATGAATGCACAGGTTCAAACCAACCCTGCAATTGGGCTAATAGTGTTTGCACAAACACTAATGGAAGCTATATTTGCACATGTGATTCTGGGTGGTTATTGGATAAAAATAATCATACCTGTGTTGGTATGTTTTTTTTTTATTGCAGTGTTTCAAATTTCATTTAAAAATTCTAAGATTTTTGGAGGTTATCAACAATATCCAAGTATTATCTTTATAAGTATAAGTAAGAAAATTGTTAAGTATAAAATTAAGTTCAAGTTTAAATCTTGAGTTGTTGTTAAATTATTTTCTTTGAATAATACACAAAAAGGTGAAATAAATAACCTTTTTTTTATTTAGATGTTGATGAATGCACAGGTTTAAACCAACCCTGCAATTGGGCTAATAGTGTTTGCACAAACACTAATGGAGGCTATATTTGCACATGTGATTCTGGGTGGTTATTGGATAAAAATAATCATACCTGTGTTGGTATGTTTTTTTTTTATTGCAGTGTTTCAAATTTCATTTAAAAATTATAAGATTTTTGGAGGTTATCAACAGTATCCAAGTATTAGTTTTATAAATATAAGTAAGGAAATTGTTGAATATAAAATTAGGTTCAAGTTTAAAACTTAAACAATTGATAAACTGTTTCTTTGAATAATGCACACAAAATTAAAATAAATAACCTTTTTTTTAATTAGATGTTGATGAATGCACAAGTTCAAACAAACCCTGCCATTGGGCTAACAGCGTTTGCACAAACACTTATGGAAGCTATATTTGCACATGTGAGTCTGGTTGGTTATTGGATAAAAAAAATCATAGCTGTGTTGGTATGTTTTATATTTATTGCTATGTCTAAAGTTTTATTTTAATGTTATAGAATTTTTTGGGGTATTCAACAGTATGTAGGTATTAGTTTTATAAATATAAGAAATAAAATTGTTGAATATAAAATCAAGTTTAAGTTTAAAACTTAAATAACTAATAAACTGTTTGCTTTGAATAATAAACAAAAAGTTAAAATAAATAATCTTTTTTTTAATTAGATGTTGATGAATGCACAGGCCCAAAAAAACCTTGCGATTGGGCTAACAGTGTTTGCACAAACACTAATGGAAGCTACATTTGCACATGTGAGTCTGGATGGTTATTAAATAAAAGTAATGAAAGCTGTGTTGGTAAGTTATTTTTTTCAATCAAAATTTATTCTATGGTTGTAAAAAATATTATAATAGAGCCATGACTACAGTCTTGTAATTTCTCTTTGAATAATAGTTGTACACGTATGATAAAGTAACTTTACAAAGTATCAAAATAATTTAGTTAAGTTTACAAGAAATTTTCAATTTTTGTGATTTTGATGAAAAACCATTACATTTTGTATGTTTTAGTTATAATGCATACTTTTTTAACAATATTTTTTAATAAGTTTTATTGCCCTAAAATATTCAAAGAAGTATGCTTCTCATCAAACAACTACAACGTAGTTTGCTTTTCATTGAATAGCACATAAAATGTGTTTTTCACTAAATATGCTCTAAGAATATTATATTTTTTTATCACTTTAAAGTGCATATTTATACTATTTTTAATAAGTTAACAAGTATTTGCTTTCAATGTTGGCAAAGCGTTGTAATACTTTCAATCTGCAATCTGGATGTGATTTTTATGTATTTTTCATAAGTCATCTTTGAATATTGAGTGTATTAATTATACTGTTTATGTAAAAGTGCAAGTGAGGTGCTATTATGCTAAAATGATTTTCAGAACATTATTTTTCATAAAGCATATTGAATAGTCACAATGACTGGTAAAAAGAATTATGATTGCTTAAATTATTAAACAAAATTCAGGAATCTGTTTGCTCAACCCATAAATCAATGCTTTTTTTAAGTTTCTAAAAATTTAAATGAAACTTAAAACAATGATTTTTTAGCCATTCTTTAAAATATACCAATTATCATGTAATTAATACTAATCTTAAAGTATATCTAAAGCAACATATAAAATGTTTTATATAAAGTGAGAATTTATTTTATACTTTGTTTTTAAATTGTTTTTTTGTTTATTTAAACTCTAACATATGATGGATCATAATGGGCTGTTAAATGCTTACAGATATAGAAAAAATATAAAGATGTATATAGTACACAAGAATATTATAAATATGATATAAGAATAGTATAAATTGTTAGAACCCTTACAAAAAATTTTTTTAAAAACTTCATGAAAAAAACCCATGCAGTTTCAATTTGATTTTAGAGACAATATTTTCCATTGAAAACCCATGAAAAAACTATGATCAATAGATTTTTATGGTAGCCATTTATCAATAAAAATGCATGTGTTGTTTTCAAAGATTTCCGTGATATCAGTAAATCAATTGAAATAACATAGTTTAACTATATTAACATGATATAATCCTGTGGGTGTTTTTTCCTGTAGCTTTTAAGCCATTATTTATTAATTCTATTTCCAGATCCTGGGAATTGTTTTATTAATTTAAATTAGTTAATTAATTAAACTATTAATTTAAATAAAGTTTAATCATACTACTTGGCACAACATTAACCACTACGCCAAGGCAATTAGTTAATGTTATGGGCAGTGACGGCGGAGACCCGAATACGATTCTCGGTATAGATTTTTTTTTTACTTTTTTTGTTTAATGAGACGCATCAAATAAAAATAAGTTATATTTAAGGCAGACGTTTTTTTCAGGCAACCCTTTCTGTAAAAAACGAGTCTTACGCGAGAAAAGTAATATTAAAAATAAAGCTTAAAACCCAGTGCCGAGTGTAGGACTCCGTAATTAGAGGAGGTGGATTATTCTGGGGGAGCAGCAAATTTTTTGTCCTTATGCTTTTTTAAAGAACTTTTTATTTAAGAAAATAGCGCGGTAAAATTTGGAAGACTTTGAGACTCTAACGTCACATTTTCTTTTTGGAGGAGGGGGAGTCTCCGACCCATTAGCCATTGCACTGTTAAAACCTGTTCTTTGTTATCAAAAAAAAGCAAAATATTTTTTGTACACGCATGCACACATGCCACGCCTTATATACTGGCCCTGATTATACTCAGGGCCAGTATATAAGGAATGGCATGTGTGCAAAAGCGTTTGCTGTATTTTTTGTTGTAGGGCAGGTAGGTAGGTAGGTAAGTAGGTAGGTAAGTAGGTAGGTAAGTAGGTAGGTAAGTAGGTAGGTAAGTAGGTAGGTAAGTAGGTAGGTAAGTAGGTAGGCAGGTAGGTAGGCAGGTAGATAGGTAGGATGATAGCGATAAGACCTTATAAAAAATTTGGATGGCGGAGATTTTGTGAGCAAATATCCCTGAAACGCTTACCCCCCCCCTCCCCCACCCTGCTCAAACGTGAGGGGACTTATGAAGTAAAATTTTTGACTAAACGATCTAAAACTAAATTTAAATTAATTGACAGAATTTGTATTTCGATGAAAAATATTGCAAATTAATTTTTTTCTATTTAAGGAATCAAAAAAAATTTTTGTGATTCCAATGAGAGTTTTCTAAACTGTTTTTGGTTGTTATAATAAAGTGTGGTACACCAGATATAAAATAAGTTTTGAGATCTAAATAAATTCTATAATTTTTACAATCATTTATTGTGGAAAAGATTCACTAAAGCAAAAGAAAAAAAATAAAAAACTTTTTTCTTCGTCCAATTAACACAAACATCTTTAAAGTTATTGACACCCTCTATTGTATAGAATTTAAAAAATTTTCTATTTGGTGAAGATCCATCAGCTACAATACAACGAACTTTCAGGAAAATGCTCTATAAAACAAATATGGCTTTCCAAGCGCATGAAAAAAGCTGATCATTTCTAATACCCTCAAATGCAAAATGACCAAAAGAATAGCATAGAGGAGTAAATAAACCTCGAATCATAAAAACAATAACATAATTAGGTTAAATAGTTTCTGTTTTAGAAATACCTTCGCATTTTCTTTTGAATATTTCTAATGTATTATAAATTTCACCAGTTTCACTCATTCCCACTATCTTTCCGCTTGTTCTACTAAACGCTAAGCCACTTTTGATTTTCATTTCATCAAAAACGAAAGATACATGGTTTTGAAACTCCAGAATCTTGCAGATTTTAGCTTGTATAATTAGGCGCTTTACAACATTATGATCAAACCCACATCCAAGCTAGGTGAAATTGAGATACTGCAATGAAATGTTCTTGCAAGGTAGGTTTAAAAACTTTGTTTTGCAGATGTGCTTGTAGGTAAAGGGACTTTTAACGTAAATACTTAAACACCATCGGATCATTATACGATACCATTTCATAGCTTTACTGTTTTTTAAACCAGCTTGAAGTTTTTGTTGCTCCCACAATACAAATCGTGGAGAATCAATCCTAAACGAATTTTTATTCAACTCTAAGAGCAAAGATTCTGTTACCTCTTTATGTGTATCATTATCTATATATAAACCATCACTTTTTATATGGTCTTTAATTTATCTTGCAATCCAATTATTCGTATAGTCAAAGTGTCTTTTTTTGTTGTAGCAGTTTTACTTTATTTATTGATTCTTGACGAGATAAATATTTTAAGTTAGTCCTCTCAGAACTTTTTAAGTCACATTCTTTATTTTTTAATCTAGAGGTAAAAACTTTAAGATAATTTCTACAACTTTCACAATATTTGCATCTTGGTATTTTTTCACCACAGAGTATTTCACATGACTCGTGACGCAGAGCTGTGAAGTCATCTACAGTCTCTAAATCTTTGTATCAAAATTTTTTTCACTTTTATTGTTACAATTAGTAACTTGAAAGCGTTGTTGCAATGACTGATGGGTTCAAACAAGGATTGTGTTGCAATGACTAATGGAAAGTTAAATGATTCTTTATTTTCTTGCTGCGCCGTCAAGCTGGTTAAACATTGCAATTAATTAATTAATTTAAACACTGTAATTGGAATAATAGTTACAAAGTCAATTCACTTAGGAAAATCATTGCTTAAACTTGGATCAGATAATTATTAACAGTTGCAAAACCTTAGCATTTCCCTTATGACAAATGTTTGTAAAACTCTCCTTTGACAATCAATAATAATTGTAAAAGTTTTACAATCATTATTGATTGTCATCGGAGAGTTTTACATAAAAATAGTTTTTCAGTAAATCTATTTTTTTTAGAGAATTTTGCACTTAATAGATTTATTAAGTATATGACTTTAGTCAGTCTTCTTTTTTTTTTTTTGATAAAAATCATTAACTTGTTAATTTTAATTTTTTTTTTTTTAAATTTATTTTGTTTAGATTTTCTATTTTCTATATTATTTTTTTCTTTCCATATTGTATTGCTATTTTAAGACCGTTTTCCGCAAGACGAAAAATTCGCGCGAGGCGAATTTTTTCGCTACGACGAAACGCTGTTTTGATTTCCACTTACTTTCTTTCAGGCTTTTTTTTTTTCGTTGTCAACAATAAAAATGGCAGCAATAAGTTTACGCTGTATGTTTAACTGAAAGCAGTTAATACTTTTTTAGCATACTTTTTACTTTGAAGCGTATGAAAATTTCTTTCCGTGCATTAATATAAACATTTCTGCCTTTATATGTAAGATGTGATATTATTTTGTAATATAATCATTTAATATAAGGTTTTTTTTACAAGAAAGCATAGGAAAATAAATGTTAAACTCTGATATGAACATTTCTATTAAAAACAGTTACAGCAAGAACGAACAGCAGGTTTAACTCTATAAAGAATTTTTCACAAAAAGGTTTATCTTCGTGTGGCCACTTGCAGATAAGCATTCTTATGAAGTGTAACTTTTGTAATTGAGAGTGTGAAAATTTATATTTGTAAATATTCGATTTAGTTTTATATATAAGTCTAGTCATTTTTTTTATGTAAGCATTGCCCCTTGTTTGATAAATTTACTCATGCTTGCCAATTTTCAGAGTAAGTTCATATAAAATTAATAAGAACGCCAGGTTAAGAATTTTTTTTTTGTTACTTTAAAAACAACATGTTTTTGCATTTTTTAAATGTTGACATCACGTGATATAATATTCAAAACTTTATTGGTTTTCGCTTATGGCGATTCGCAAAAAGTCGAAATGAATCCGACTTTATTTTTCGTTGCATCGAAACGCTGTAGCGAAAAAAAATCAGTATAATAGCCAAAATGGTTTAACCTGCGCATGCTTAACGACGAAAAAATTCGCTTCGCGCGAATTTTTCGACTTTTAGAAAACGACCTTTCATCTCTCTGGTTTTTTTTTGCCGCAAATTCTTAAAACGCTAAATATATGAAATTGTGGCCAAGTTGTTTAAAAAAGTTTTTGTACAAACAAATCGTTTAACCGAACACGCTATCCAGGAAAGCTTGTTTATTTATTTTAATTAGGGTAAATATTGTCCCGGGGTAATGTAAGAGAGTACAGCGCTAAACTATTAAATATTATATGTATATATATATATATATACATATATAAATATATATATATATATATATATATATATATATATATATATATATATATATATATATATATATATATATATATATATATATATATATATATATATATATAAAATATATATATATATATATACATATATAAATATAAATAATATATACATATATATATATATACATATATAAATATATATATATATATATATATATATATATATATATATATATATATATATATATATATATATATATATATATATATATATATACATATACATATATATATATATATATATATATATATATATATATATATATATATATATATATATATATATATATAAATATATATATATATATATATATATATATATATATATATATATATATATATATATATATACATATATAAATATATATATATGTATATATATATATATATATATATATATATATATAAATACATGTATATATATTTATATATATATATATATATATATATATATATATATATATATATATATATATATATATATATATATATATATATATATATATATATATATATTTATATATATATATATATATATATATATATATATATATATATATATATATATATATATATATATATATATATATATATATATATATATATATATATATATATATACATATATATTCCAATTTAAATTCTACAGATTAGATTCCATTTTATCAGTGGTTTAAACAACTATTTGAGTATTGTGGCAATTGGTTTATTCAACAAATGTTCATAAAAATATTGTAATAATATCTTTATGGTACTAAAACACTTTCCTGAAGCCATTATAACAAATATAAATATTATGCTTTTTTGAAAAGTTTTTTACTAATGAACCAGAATTTCGTAAAGATTTCAAAATTCAATTATTTTTATGATTTTCAAAATAAATATTTTTATAAAATTTTATAAAAAGTAATCTGATTAATTTTTGTTTTCTGATCCATTATTAATAATAAACAATCTATTTAAGTTAGTTTATAACTATCTATAGATGTAGATGAATGCACAGCTTTAAACAAACCCTGCAATTGGACTGACAGCGTTTGCATAAACAATATCGGGAGCTACATTTGCACATGTGAGTCTGGATGGGTATTAAATGATGATAGTTGTGTTGGTAAGTTTTTTTTGCTCCAAAAATGTGAAGTTTTGAAGCTGTAAGATTTAAAGCAGTTTCTTACAGTATCAAAGTAACTATTGTAAAACCAAACAATAAAAGATTATTGAATATGAATATGGTTTTATATTTAAAGTTATATCACCGATAAACTCTTGCTTTTAAATATTACACAAAAAGGTATTATTTAATGGAAAAAATATAAATTTTTTATCATAATGTTTTTAGGGTTGTCTAACAGTATCTGAGTAATAATTTTTTAATTTAAAGAAAGGAAACTATTCAATAAAAAACTGAACTCAAGTTTAAAATTACATTATCAATTACTTGTT